TTTCTACTTTGCTTGTAAACCCTTGAGCGAGATTATTCCCGTCTTCGTGGCGGACTGTAACATCGACCACGAAGACCCTTCCCCGGCTTTGTATTACCAGGTCAGGTTTGAGATTCCCGCCTCCGGTTGCCGCCACCGTCGGTTCAACCGTTATTGCCACCTCTGGGCCTTTCTTTTTAAGTTCTTCCACGATGAGGTTTTTGATCTCATCGTGCCTTCGAATCCTATGTGGTTTCGTGTGACGACATTGCCCCAATATGTGTCCCAATGTCTCAATTTGCGAACCACATTGCCTGCATGTAGGATCCGGTATTCTGGTCGCTCTGCTCATGGCCGCCCTGTCAGCACATGAGTTGGTTCTCATCTTGAGGGCTGTAATCATACGACATGGCTTGAGCAACGAGGGGTCCCTAAGCCATGCGTTTCCGATCCTGGAGTCGGCGAAGGCCGCTGCCGACTTTCCTTGAGAACCAAGGCGCTTCCATCTGGCAAGCTCAGCCTTCTTTTGCGTTCTAGTATAGCTGGTCAGTTGCTCCCCAGTAACTGGCCAAGCTATCCGGGCATCGAGAGCGAGTCGCCTCACTCTACTCTCGAGCTTAGTGCCCGTGGCAAGAGCTTGCATTGCCGGGTCGGGGTTGTCCACGAACTTTAAGCCGGCTTTTAGGGCTGATGAGGTGGCGAGCCACTCCAACCTCGGGATCGCAAGTCCCCCGTCCCTCTTACCGCAGTATATAAGGCGTTCGTTGTTGCCTGCGGCAGGTGAAGAATATTCTTCACCACTACCCGTAGCTCCTGGTCCATCAGTTTTATCTGTGTCATAGCCGGCATCGCTATGGACAACTGATACAGGTAATGAGGAACAATGTAAGTAGAGATTAAGTCTATCTTTTGATGCGGTTTCAACTTAGTCGTTGCACACGACTAAGAGTTGAAGCAAGGTCGGCTCGTATGCCCTCGGTTGTGACCCCAACCCAGGGAGACAACTTGCATCCAAGGTAGACAAGGTGATCGCCGGCCCCCGCTACCGGTATCACTTCTCCACTGTCGAGTTCGAGGCCTGGGTCAGTTAAGTACCAGGAGTCTTTGGTACGGTTTACACGGAAGGTGCGGCATTTATTGGCAGCAATCTTCATACCTAGACTCGATAGGTATGCTTCCGTGCTACTTAACTGGTCCTTAGCATGTGGTACTGTTTGCGCGACTAGGAGCAGATCGTCGGCAAATGCTAAGGACGATATCTGCGTCTCTGTGTCGATTTGTACCCAGGTCTCGTTTCCAGCTTACTAGCAAGGGCTCCAAAACTAGATTGAATAGTAATGGGCTGAGGGGGTCACCTTGCTTGACCCCCCGCTGGAGGCGTATCTCGATTGGCGCCTGATTCAGTTCTATAATAGTAGTACATCCTCATATGCATTTTCCACGATACGTACCACCTGTTCGGGAAAACCTTTGCGACGTAACGCGTGTCCTATAGCTTGGTGCGGCACAGTATCAAATGCTTTGGACACGTCCAGCTGCGTTACGACCAGGCCATTCTTGGCTTTTGAGTGCCTCAGCAGCTCATTGAGGATGTGGATGTTGTTGAAGCACCCAGATTCGTTCATGAAGCCCTTTTGTCTGGGTGAGAACCGTGCTTTTGCCCTAAGTTTGCTGTCAATAATGCCAAAGTAAATTCTCGACATTAAAGAAGAGATTGTAATTGGACGGTAGTTTTCAGCTAACATACCGTCCTTACCCTCTTTAGGGATCAAAGTAGTTCGGTTCTTCCTCCAGGCGGTAGGAATCTTACCGCTTATCATGATTAAATTGAAAAATAACTGGAGGACTTCGTTTGCACCAGGAACGCGTTTAATGTCTCCCTTTTTAATACCATCGGGACCCGGTGCTGTGGACATTTTCATCCGAGAGAGACGCGTTCACCTCTTTCACCGTCACGGCGGTTAGCACAGTACCTAACCCAAGTGCCGGTTCGGAGGGCTCTCCCAGGAAGGGCACCTGTACTTCCGACGGATTTGTGCCCCAAAGCTTTTTGTACAGGTCCCGCACGTCTTGGGCTGGAGCTTTTACCCCTGGTTCCTCCAGCCAGTCCACGTTGTTACGGACGTGCTTGGCAAGAATGCCTGGCTCTTTTTTGTAAATATCCTGGGTACGGGCGTAGAGGTACCGTCTGTTACCCCTCTTATTTTGTCCTCTACGCCTTCCCTTTCGTCGCCCTGCAACTCCCCGCTCCTCGCTGACGAAGAGAGCGGTGACTCTATCATGTAAAGTATCTATTTGCGATTGGGGCTGCCCCATAGGCAAATCGCAAGCCTCGGAGATTGCATTTCTAAGCAGCTGGGTGACCGTGTTCACCTCCAGATGTTGCTGTGCCGCTCGAGTCAACTTGCAGCTACGGGCAGTCTGAGCAACATCCTGTCTCCAAAGTGTCTCTTCTGGAGAAGCTGCTGGCGATACCAACTCATCTCACTGACATTCAGTACCCTCTCTGACATGTCAGGCGTCTGAGTCGGACTTATGTTTTCGGCGGTGGGGGTGATATTATTAACGTTATTTTCACCCCCTGCAATGGCAGCTACTGCTGATACGTCGAGTAGCTCCGGGACTGGGATAGGGGAGCCACCCCCTACTCCCGCTTCCTCGCAGCTGTTGGTTTCGGGCGCTTCTTCTTGGGGGACGGTAGCTCTACCATCCCCTGTGTCTGTGGATACTGGTTCTGTACTGTCATCATCAGTACTAGCGCTCGCTGTGATCCCTCTTTCTGCGAGGTACCTTTCACGCCGTTCTTTGTAGCATTTTTGGGCCCTTTTGTCCCGGAGTTGTTTCAAAGTTTTCTCTGGTATCAACTCCCGCATGCGCATTGCTATACGCAACTCACCCCGGTACCGGAGTTCGCACTCCATCATTATTTGTTCCTCCTCTTCAGTAAAGATAACCAATCTTCTTTGTCGAGGAGACCGCCGTGTACCCGCTGCCCTAGCTTCGTTTCGGGTGAGTGGATGCCGGTGCCGCTGGTGCTGTGTTAGTGCACCGCGGCCGGAGTACCTTTCGCCGCAATCGGGGCAGGCCACGCCTACCGATTCGGGTATAGGCCTGTTACTTGGTACTCCGTCAGTCTCTGAGTCTGTTGACTCTGGAGGTGGGGCTGCCGCAGCAGCTCCCACCGGGCACTTGGGGACGTGACACAGTGCCGCATGTTTTGCTATATACATTTTTGAGCACATCCTGCATTTGAATCTGATTTGTATATCCTTGTGATCAGATTTTACATGTTTTATTTCATCATTTAAGGTCATGTGCAGGATGTTAATGCTTCTTTTGAGGCATAGGGGGCATGACCTTTCTATATAGGGGAGCAAAATCTCAATGTCCTTGTATCGCCATTTCCATCATCATGGGCCCCTGGTCTAGGATTTTGGGATGGTGTGGGCCCATCACCATCCCGATCTTCCGAGGCTATTTTATGTGTCGTAGCCTTATATATGCTTGGCTGGCTGGGCCAAGTGCATGTCTTCCCCTAAGGGGTAAGATACAAGGTGGTCTGTATCTCGCCCTCGGTTTCCATACCGACCCCTTATGACTGTCCGCAGACAGGCCCCGACCGGGTAATCGGGGGGCTGGTTCCTAGTTAGCCGTCATCCTCGTTCAAATGCCTAACCAAAGGTAAGGCGGGTGGATGAGCGTTGCCCAGCAGTCACCGCGTGGAGGTCAGGAACCTTTGACCGCCAAGAGAGTCATAGTTACTCCCGCCGTTTACCCGCGCTTGCTTGAATTTCTTCACGTTGACATTCAGAGCACTGGGCAGAAATCACATTGAGTCAACACCCGCAGGGGCCATCTCAATGCTTTGTTTTAATTAGACAGTCGGATTCCCCCGGTCCGTGCCAGTTCTGAGCTGACCGTTGAATGGCGGCCGAAGAGGACACCAGAACGCCCTTGCGAGCGCACTCTGGGCCTCGCAGCAAGACGGTTCCGCGGGAGGCCAAGGCACGGTACCGAGTTCGGATCCGCAATCCTACCGCACACGCGCGAACGCATACGACAGAACGTTTCACCTCGCCCAGGCCCGGCACGTCAGCCGCGACCCGCTTCCTCGCCAAGCCCGACACGCCCCGATCCTCAGAGCCAATCCTTATCCCGAAGTTACGGATCCAATTTGCCGACTTCCCTTACCTACATTATTCTATCGACTAGAGGCTCTTCACCTTGGAGACCTGCTGCGGATATGGGTACGAACCGGCGCGACACCTCCACGTGGCCCTCTCCCGAATTTTCAAGGTCCGAGGGGAAGACCAGGACACCGCTGCAACTGCGGTGCTCTTCGCATTCCAAACCATATCTCCCTGCTAGAGGATTCCATGGAACTCGAATGCTTATGCAGAAAAGAAAACTCTTCCCTGGTCTCCCGACGGCGTCTTCGGGTCTTTTTGGGTTACCCCGACGAACTCTCTTGCGAGGGCCCGACTATTGTACGGTTCCGCTGCCGGGTTTCGGAATAGGAACCGAATTCCCTTTCGCCCGACGGGCGTGTTCTTTATATATACACACATACATACATATATTTATAAAACAACGCCACATCAACATCGGCTTTCGCCTAGGGCTTAGGATCGACTGACTCGTGTGCAACGGCTGTTCACACGAAACCCTTCTCCACGTCAGTCCTCCAGGGCCTCGCTGGAGTATTTGCTACTACCACCAAGATCTGCACCGACGGCGGCTCCAGACGGCCTCACGGCCAGCCCTTCTGCGCGCACCGCCGCGACCCTCCTACTCGTCAGAGCTTCATGGCCGATCCGTTTTTACGCGGATCGAGACCGCACATGCCGCTGACGGCCGAGTATAAGCACGACGCTTCAGCGCCATCCATTTTCAGGGCTAGTAACTTCGGCAGGTGAGTTGTTACACACTCCTTGGCGGATTCCGACTTCCATGGCCACCGTCCTGCTGTCTTAAGTTACCAACGCCTTTCATGGTATCCCATAAGCGTCGATTTAGGCGCTTTAACTCGACGTTTGGTTCATCCCACAGCGCCAGTTCTGCTTACCAAAAATGGCCCACTTGGCACTCTGATTCGATTCTCGCAGCTTCATTAGTTCGAGCAAGCCGGAGATCTCACCCATTTAAAGTTTGAGAATAGGTTGAGGTCGTTTCGACCCCAATGCCTCTAATCATTCGCTTTACCGGATGAAACTCGTCACAGACGAGCGCCAGCTATCCTGAGGGAAACTTCGGAGGGAACCAGCTACTAGATGGTTCGATTAGTCTTTCGCCCCTATACCCAGTTCCGACGATCGATTTGCACGTCAGAATCGCTACGGACCTCCATCAGGGTTTCCCCTGACTTCGTCCTGACCAGGCATAGTTCACCATCTTTCGGGTCCCAGCGTGTACGCTCTTGGTGCGCCTCTTCTCGTAATGAGAACGAGACGCCCCGGGAGTGCGGAGCGGCCGCTTTATAGACGTGCCGCCCATCTTCCCTAAATCCGCGCTAGGCGGATCTTTACTTTCATTGCGCCTTTAGGTTTAGTTATGTCCCAATGACTCGCGCACATGCTAGACTCCTTGGTCCGTGTTTCAAGACGGGTCCTGAAATTACCCAAAGCTATAGCGTCGCAGATCGGCGTTTCAAACGAGGTCTGTCCGAGAAATCCGCACGACCAACAGTCGTCCGGGGACGGAACCGGGCGCTAGGTCCGATCGCCGTCTTAGCATCGAACGTGCTTGTCGTGGGTCGGACGCTAATTGAAGAAGTAGCGGCCTCGCGCCATCTGTATACCGTCGAGCGAGTCGGCCGGAACATCGCGGGTTCGAGCACGAATCGCCGAAACGATCGTACACGGACTCCACCGCGAGCCGTAGACCGACACCCAACGGATCGCGACGTCCTACTAGGGGAAAAGTGCACGCGTTCGACGCCGGATCGAAAAGCGAAAGGCGCGGACGACGCGCGAACGCCGTCCGTCGCGCGACCGCTCATCGCCGACGGCCGAAACGCGAATGAATTTCCCCTTTCGACCTTTCGGGTTTCTCAGGTTTACCCCTGAACGGTTTCACGTACTCTTGAACTCTCTCTTCAAAGTGCTTTTCAACTTTCCCTCACGGTACTTGTTCGCTATCGGTCTCGTGGTCATATTTAGCCTTAGATGGAGTTTACCACCCACTTAGGGCTGCACTCTCAAGCAACCCGACTCTGAGGAGAGATCCTCCCGCGATCGGCAGCGGCCACTACGGGCCTGGCACCCTCTATGGGCTGTGGCCCCGTTCAAGAAGGACTTGGACTCGCCGCGCGACCTCGGGATAAACGGATCCTCCCTAACACCACATTTCCCGGCGCCCGATATCGACCGCGGGATTCGGTGCTGGGCTTTTCCCTGTTCGCTCGCAGCTACTGAGGGAATCCTAGTTAGTTTCTTTTCCTCCGCTTAGTAATATGCTTAAATTCAGCGGGTAGTCTCACCTGCTCTGAGGTCGGTTAACAATATACAACACAACACCACACACAGATATATATGTCACACGCGATCGCTAATACTAAATCGTATAGCTGCTGCTGCTATACTACTAGTCGAAAGCGTTCTCTAGTGTTTAGCGCGTATATGCGATCAGACGTCGTTATCTCGAAAAAAATAATTTCTCTCTCGGACACGACGATCGCAGCGCAAGTTCGAAACGCGTAACGACTACAGCATATATACATATATATATATATATATATATATATGTAGTGCTATTACGATTTTTATCCGTACAGCGCGCGTGTTCGTTCTATGTGTGAGTTTACGATTCGTTCGTATGACGAACGAATCGTCGCTTTCGCGTTTTGAGATGCCGCGACGACGACAAAGACGACGACGTTTACGATATTACATAAATAAATATATATAACTAGCGTCGTCGCGTCGTACCGCCGCGTCTACATCCAACACGCTCCGACGTTTCATTCTCCTCTCTCATGTCGTCGTCGTCGTCGTCTCTCGGATAAAGAGATAATACGACGACGCGAACAGAGATCGGAGAGGAAACCGAGCAGTCTTTTAAATTGATACGACCCTCAGCCAGGAGTGGTCCGGGAACAGTATCCGAGGACCGCAATGTGCGTTCGAAATGTCGATGTTCATGTGTCCTGCAGTTCACAAGTTGACGCGCAATTAGCTGCGTTCTTCATCGACCCACGAGCCAAGTGATTCACCGTTCAGGGTAATCGTTTTTTAATTAGACGATCTCTATATATATAAAATATATATCGATACGTCTTTATTGTTATGATAATGGCTAATGTTATTAAAGAAAATATATAAAAAAAAGAAAGCGCGCATTTCTCACGGAGACTTCGTGTATTTTGCGCGGCAAACGCGCAAAATTATTTTTGCGCGTTTATAACAAACGAGCGTGCCGACGAAGTCTCTCGTGTACGCGCGCATTCTATCCGTATCGCGCTTCTATAGCATACGCGTGTGCAAGGGGTACAAATAACACTACAACAGAGTTGTACATAACATGAATATATGTATGTATTAAGCGTACAACACGTGTCGTCCTCTTGTACCGTCTTTTCGTATGGCGTAGAAATTTCGACTAACGGGCGAATATCTTTAAAAACAACCGGAAAAGAAGGAAATGAGTCGTGCGGACACGACGACATATCTCCGTTCTTCTCCCATATAGAGTTACCCGTCGAAAATATCGCCATCCGTACAGACGACGACGTCGTAGAGACACGTGTGTACATACGCATACGCATACAACACAATATTATGTCTATGCGATATACGCGTGTCGGAACGTACCCCGAGCGCGCGCTCGCGCGTACTAGAAGCGCTCTATACGGCGTGGTGCGTTCGAAAATTATACGTATATATGATGGTGGGACGACGAAAAGATTTTCAATAAGATTTATAAAAAAGATACGCACTCGCGTACACGACGAGACGAGGGAAGAGGTTGTGTGTTACACACAAACAACAACACCTCGTTCGGGTAATATACACGTGTGTGCGCTCGATCTTACTATAAATGTTCCTTATTATCTTTTCGAACGTCGCTACATCATCGCCTATAATAAAAAGGCAAATTCGTTCAATGAATAGTAAAGTGTATAAGAGTAAAGTATCGTGTTGAAATATATTACTCATTATACGAAAGACTTTTTTTTGTCAAAGACAAAAATTAAAGCACTGTAATGATCCTTCCGCAGGTTCACCTACGGAAACCTTGTTACGACTTTTACTTCCTCTAAATGATCAAGTTTGGTCATCTTTCCGGCAACATCGACGACGCCGAAACGCCCACCGCGTACCAGTCCGAAGACCTCACTAAATCATTCAATCGGTAGTAGCGACGGGCGGTGTGTACAAAGGGCAGGGACGTAATCAACGCGAGCTTATGACTCGCGCTTACTGGGAATTCCTCGTTCATGGGGAATAATTGCAAGCCCCAATCCCTAGCACGAAGGAGGTTCAGCGGGTTACCCGGGCCACTCGGCCAGGGAGGACACGCTGATTCCTTCAGTGTAGCGCGCGTGCGGCCCAGAACATCTAAGGGCATCACAGACCTGTTATTGCTCAATCTCGTGCGGCTAGAAGCCGCCTGTCCCTCTAAGAAGAATTGTTTGTACGCCGACAGTAAAAACCGCGCACGGCAAGGGCGTAAACCCGAACCGGCGGGCCTTTGGGATGTCGAAATACGCCTAGTTAGCAGGCTAGAGTCTCGTTCGTTATCGGAATTAACCAGACAAATCGCTCCACCAACTAAGAACGGCCATGCACCACCACCCACCGAATCAAGAAAGAGCTCTCAATCTGTCAATCCTTCCGGTGTCCGGGCCTGGTGAGGTTTCCCGTGTTGAGTCAAATTAAGCCGCAGGCTCCACTCCTGGTGGTGCCCTTCCGTCAATTCCTTTAAGTTTCAGCTTTGCAACCATACTTCCCCCGGAACCCAAAAGCTTTGGTTTCCCGGAAGCTGCCCGCCGAGTCATCGGAGGAACGTCGGCGGATCGCTAGCTGGCATCGTTTATGGTTAGAACTAGGGCGGTATCTGATCGCCTTCGAACCTCTAACTTTCGTTCTTGATCAATGAAAGCGTTTTTGGCAAATGCTTTCGCTTCTGTTCGTCTTGCGACGATCCAAGAATTTCACCTCTAACGTCGCAATACGAATGCCCCCATCCGTTCCTATTAATCATTACCTCGGGGTTCCGAAAACCAACAAAATAGAACCGAGATCCTATTCCATTATTCCATGCACACGTATTCAGGCGAAGTTTTAGCCTGCTTTGAGCACTCTAATTTGTTCAAAGTAAAAGTGCCGGCCCGCCTCGACACTCAGTAAAGAGCACCGTGGTGGGATTGAGTTGGACCGCCCGTGAAGGCTAAGTCCACCGGCAGGACGTCCCGCGGCACGCCAGTTAACACCGCGTGCGATGAACCGGCGGCGCGGGACACAAATTCGACTACGAGCTTTTTAACCGCAACAACTTTAATATACGCTATTGGAGCTGGAATTACCGCGGCTGCTGGCACCAGACTTGCCCTCCAATTGATCCTCGTTAAAGGGTTTAGAGTGTACTCATTCCGATTACGGGGCCTCGGAAGAGTCCCGTATCGTTATTTTTCGTCACTACCTCCCCGTGCCGGGAGTGGGTAATTTGCGCGCCTGCTGCCTTCCTTGGATGTGGTAGCCGTTTCTCAGGCTCCCTCTCCGGAATCGAACCCTGATTCCCCGTTACCCGTTACAACCATGGTAGGCGCAGAACCTACCATCGACAGTTGATAAGGCAGACATTTGAAAGATGCGTCGCCGGTGCTAGACCATGCGATCAGCGTAAAGTTATTCAGAGTCACCAAGTTGTACGATGACGAGCGCGAACCCGCCACCGATTGGTTTTGATCTAATAAAAGCGCTCCTTCCGTCTCCGGTCGGAGCTCTGTTTGCATGTATTAGCTCTAGAATTACCACAGTTATCCAAGTAAATGTGGGTACGATCTAAGGAACCATAACTGATT